TGGCAAGAAGGTTTGCTGTGTCTGTCAGCGTAGTGTCCAGAGCATGGAGGCGCTACCAGCAGACAGGCCAGTACACCAGGAGACATGGAGGAGGGCAACAACCCAGCAGCAGGACCGCTACCTCCGCCTTTGTGCAAGGAGGAGCAGGAGGAGCACTGCCAGAGCCCTGCAAAATGACCTCCAGCAGGCCACAAATGTGCATGTGTCTGCTCAAACGGTCAGAAACAGACTCCATGAGGGTGGTATGAGGGCCCGACGTCCACAGGTGGGGGTTGTGCTTACAGTCCAACACCGTGCAGGACGTTTGGCATTTGCCAGAGAACACCAAGATTGGCAAATTCGCCAATGGTGCCCTGTGCTCTTCACAGATGAAAGCAGGTTCACACTGAGCACATGTGACAGACGTGACAGAGTCTGGAGACGCCGTGGAGAACGTTCTGCTGCCTGCAACATCCTCCAGCATGACCGGTTTGGCAGTGGGTAGTCATGGTGTGGGGTGGCATTTCTTTGGGGGGCCGCACAGCCCTCCATGTGCTCGCCAGAGGTAGCCTGACTGCCATTAGGTACCGAGATGAGATCCTCAGACCCCTTGTGAGACCATATGCTTGTGCGGTTGGCCCTGGGTTCCTCCTAATGCAAGACAATGCTAGACCTCATGTGGCTGGAGTGTGTCAGCAGTTCCTGCAAGAGGAAGGCATTGATGCTATGGACTGGCCCCCCCGTTCCCCAGACCTGAATCCAATTGAGCACATCTGGGACATCATGTCTCGCTCCATCCACCAACGCCACGTTGCACCACAGACTGTCCAGGAGTTGACGGATGCTTTAGTCCAGGTCTGGGAGGAGATCCCACACACTACTGAGCCTCATTTTGACTAGTTTTAAGGACATTACATCAAAGTTGGATCAGCCTGTAGTGTGGTTTTCCACTTTAATTTTGAGTGTGACTCCAAATCCAGACCTCCATGATTTGATAAATCTGATTTCCATTGATAATTTTTGTGTGATTTTGTTGTCAGCACATTCAACTATGTAAAGAAAAACGTATTTAATAAGATTATTTCATTCATTCAGATATAGGATGTGTTGTTTAAGTGTTCCCTTTATTTTTTTAAGCAGAGTATATACACGGGGTACCAGTACCGAGTCGATGTGCAGGAATACGAGGTAATGGAGGTAGATACAGTTGAAGTCGAAAGTTTACATACACTTAGGTTGGAGTCATTAAAACTCGTTTTTCAACCACTCCACAAACAAGTTTTGGCAAGTCGGTTAGGACATCTACTTTGTGCATGACACAAGTAATTTTTCCAACAATTGTTTACAGACAGATTATTTCACTTATAATTCACTGTATCACAATTCCAGGGGGTCAGACGTTTACATACACTAAGTTGACTGTGCCTTTAAACAGCTTGGAAAATTCCAGATAATTATGTCATGGCTTTAGGAGCTTCTGATAGGCTAATTGACATACTTTTAGTCAATTGGAGGTGTACTTGTGGATGTATTTCAAGGCCTACCTTCAAACTCAGTGCCTCTTTGCTTGACATCATGAGAAAATCAAAAGAAATCAGCCAAGACCTCAGAAAATAAATTGTAGACCACAAGTCTGGTTCATCTTTGGGAGCAATTTCCAAATGCCTGAAGGTACCACGTTCATCTGTACAAACAATAGTACGCAAGTATAAACACCATGGGACCAAACAGCCGTCATACCGCTCAGGAAGGAGACGCGTTTTGTCTCCTAGAGATGAACGTACTTTTGTGCGAAAAGTGCAAATCAATCCTAGATCAACAGCAAAGGACCTTGTGAAGATGCTGGAGGAAACAGGTACAAAAGTATCTATATCCACAGTAAAACGAGTCCTATATCGACATAACCTGAAAGGCCGCTCAGCAAGGAAGAAGCCACTGCTCCAAAACCGCCATAAAAAAGCCAGACCAAGGTTTGCAACTGCACATGGGGACAAAGATCGTACTTTTTGGAGAAATGTCCTCTGGTCTGATGAAACAAAAATAGAACTGTTTGGCCATAATGACCATCGTTATGTTTGGAGGAAAAAGGGGGTCCGTTGCAAGCCGAAGAACACCATCCCAACCGTGAAGAACGGGGGTGGCAGCATCATGCTGTGGGGGTGCTTTGCTGCAGGAGGGGCTGGTGCACTTCACAAAATAGATGACATCATGAGGACGGAATTTATGTGGATATAATGAAGCAACATCTCAAGACATCAGTCAGGAACTTAAAGCTTGGTCGCAAATGGGTCTTCCAAATGGACAATGACCGCAAGCATACTTCCAAAGTTGTGGCAAAATGGCTTAAGGAGGCCTACAAACCTGACTCAGTTACACCAGCTCTGTCAGGAGGAATGTGCCAAAATTCACCCAACTTATTGTGGGAAGCTTGTATAAGGCTACCCAAAACGTTTGACCCAAATTAAACAATTTAAAGGCAATGCTACCAAATACTAATTGAGTGTATGTAAACTTCTAACCCACTGGGAATGTGATGAAAGAAATAAAAGCTGAAATAAATCATTCTCTTTACTACTATTCTGACATTTCACATTCTTAAAATATAGTGGTAATCCTAACTGACCTAAAACAGGGAATTTTTACTAGGATTAAATGTCAGGAATTGTGAAAAAATGAGTTTAAATGTATTTGGCTAATGTGTATGTAAACTTCCAACTTCAACTGTACCTTTAACCCATTGTATAAGAGATTCACCCGGAATTAAAGTAATCCAGGCATTTATATATACATTCTAGTCGTACTTTATCAAACGCCTTTGCTATGAAGACCAGGCCTGGTATCTTTGATGTGTCATAATGTTCAATTGTTTCAAGTAATTGTCATATATTATCACCAATATATCGTTCATGTAAAAACCTGTCTGATCAGGATGAACAATATCTGGTAAAACCTTTTTTATTTTATGTGCTTTGCATTTTGCCAGTATTTACACGTAATAGGCCTTTTTTAAATGGACTGGATCTTTATACTTACCACCTGGGTCCTGTTTCAGTAGTAATGAAGTCAGACCCTTCTTGTTGAGTATTTGAAAGTTTACAATTTTTATAGGAGTAATTATAACATGCTAATAATGGATGTTTGAGTACATCAAAAAGGTCTGATACACCTCTACTGGTATACCATCAAGCCCTGGTGTTTTTCCAGACTGAAAATATTTAATTGCCTCAAAAGGTTCCTCCTCTTTAAGTTGGCCTTCACACAGGTCTTTCTGTAAATTTGTTAATTGTACATTATTATTATTAGGAAATAAATCCTTACAGTTAACATCATTCAGTGGAAATGGAGGAGACTGAAAATAAAACATATGCTTAAAATATTTTGCTTCCTCATGGGGGACTCCACCATTGTAACGAGTTTCTGTAAATAGTTTTTTGTAGCATTTCTATGTTGAGGATTCAAAAGAAAATTGTGCATTTGTCACCATTTTCCATCCAATTCACTTTATTTTTGTAATAAATTACACTTGATCGTTCTTGAATAAGTACCTCCAATTAGTTTTGATTTTCCTCTAACCTATTTTGTGCCTCTATAGTACAGTTTTCATTACCATCTACCTGTGCTGTTATTTCCTTTATTTCCTTTATTAGTCTAATCTCTTTTACCCTAAACTGCTTTTGTTTTAACGATGAGTATTGTATTGAATGGTCTCTAAAAGTACCTTTAAAAGTGTCCCATACAATAAGGGAATCTGCTGTACCTATGTTGTGCAGAAAAAAGTCAATTATGAATTATTTTGTCTTAATAGGCTTTGATTAAATTTCCAATACCCCTGTCCACATGGAAATTATGTAAGAGTTATATGGAGGCCAATTAGATGGTGATCTGATCGCATTTGGTCTCCTATTAATACTTCTTTCTTTACTTTTGATGCCAGCAAGAATGAGACCAGGATGTAATCAAGACGCCTAGCTTGATTAATCCTCCCCATGTATATCTTACTAGGTCAGGGTTTTTCAGCCTCCATATACCCACTATTTCTAATGTATCCATGATATTCGTGATCTCCTTAAGTGCTTGAGGGTGATAGTTTGTAGTGTGATTTCCTTTAAGATCCATTGAGGTATTTAAAACCATATTATAATCTCCATAATAATAGATTCATTTCTTGCTTGTGAGCTCAATAGATTATTATATGGATCATCATTATTTGGCCCATATAGATAATTAGCCAGATCTGTTTAAAAGGATCCATCTTCCTTGAGGATCTCTTTGCACACTTTGGACAATCGGATCAAAATTGTTGTTAATTAATATAATCATCCCTTTTGAGATTATTTGCCCATGACAAAAATATATTTCTCCCTCCCAGTCCCTTTTCCACCCAACCTCATCGATATTTGTAGAGTGAGTTTCCTGTTAACAATATATATTATATTCTTTGTCTTTTAGCCAGGTAAAAATGTATCTTCTTGTTTTATGATCTCCTAAGCTATTACAATTGTAACTGGCTATACATATTTCCCCACTTACCATTATGATACCCAAGATTCAATTATACTTACCCAAACCAATGTTTGTAAACTTACCATTAAAAAGCACCATGATGATTAAGTGTCCATATAGCATAACATTTGCACTGTTAAGCACACTGTAGCTGCAACTGTGTAAACCTCCAATTATCCTAATATTCCACCCCCTAAAACCTCCCCCCATATCTAGGTCTGTTATCACTAAGACCATCAGACCATCTCCCTGACTCATGATGCACCTTTGCATCCTAAGGCAAACCCTAGGCCGACAATTGGCGTAGGCCAGAGGGAAATATGGGCAGTCCCATGATAACATAATTCAATACTGCCACACTTCACTCACACATTTAAAGCCCCATAGGTCTATTGCATATCTATGAGGGTGCTTTTTAAGAGAACTAACCAAATAACAGTCAGAAAAAAACAAAAATCAATAATAGATCATATTAATATAAATAATAACAGCACAATATTATAGATTCATGCTCATATTTAGTTTTCATCCTCGCTCTTGGTCTCATTCACTATTGCGCCTGACACTTTACAGGAGGAATCGATGGACTGGATGACATGGGGGATAGACTGTGGTTCTGTTGTGACTATCGTGACATCATCCATGTATTCCTGTGTTTTGAGGCTTTTGCCATTTGCGCCTTGTAGGGGATAACCTGTGAATAGAGGGTTGTTGCGGAGGCTTGCAATGAGTGGTTCTATGGTGATGGTGTAGAGCATGGCCGATAGTGGGCAGCCCTGTCTTACTCCAGAATGAATGGGTATGGGATTGGAGGGGATGCCATTGGTCAAGACTCTACTGGTGTTGTGTTTATAGATGATGGATACCCAGTTTCGGAGACCGAGAGCGAGGATCATTCTGGCCATTAACCTAAACATGTAGGGGTGGCTCACTGTATCGAAGGTCTTTTCCTGGTCTAGGTTGAATAGACAGAATGGCTGTGACTGTTCAACATGTCCCTAATGGTGGAGAGGTTGTCTAGAGCCGACCTCCCCGGAGCACCGCAAGTCTGGTTGGATCCCAAAGGCCTGAGGGGGCGACCTTTGCATCCTAGTTCTTGAGCTCAGTAGCGTCTTCCTTTCCTTTGTACAGGTGAGTAATGGCACTCTCCCGCATTGACGGCGCTAACCTGCCATCCCTGTACATTCTAATGTAAACCGCCCCCAGACTGACTTTCAGGTGTCCCCAGAATGTTATGTAAAACTCAGCAGGGAGCCCGTCTGGACCTGGTGTCTTACCTTTGCTTAAGGAGTGCACGACCCGGGTGAGCTCATCCAGTGACAGGTCCACCTCCTCCTCGTGTTGTGGGATTGGGGTTATGTGACTAAGGAGTTTGTCGATCAGTGTGTAGGCGTGTAGGCGAGTACAAGTTTCTGTAGAAGTCTGTAATGATGTTCTTGATGGACTGATCGTCAGGCTGCAGTATCTGCTGGTCGCCTTTCATTGCATCTACTGTCTGTTTCTTTCATCTGATTTCTTCGAAAAAATATTTGTTGCATTTCTCGTCCTCTTTTTGGTGTTGAATTTTGCTTGTGTGTTAGATTTTTTCTGTTCCTGTCGGTGTAAGAGTGAGAGTTTGTGTTTGGTGTCTGCTGTTTCGGGTGCCATATAGAAGCCTGCTAGCTGGAGGTTGAATTGGCATTGTAGTCGTCAGTTGAGTTTGTTGAGTTGTTCTCTTTTGCCTTTTGCTATTGTTTTGCCTGCCTTGATGTAAAAGTGTTCGGTTCTCTCCTTGACCATTTCCCACCACTGGATGGGGGAGTCGAAAAGGTCAAGGAGCGAGGTCCATTTCTTCAACTGCATGATGCATTAGTTGTTGAGTCTGGTGGTAAGTAAAGTGGTGTTCAGTTTCCATAGTCACTTTCTCTAACAGTCTGTGTCGCTGGGAGGTGTACAGTCATACTGAGTTGTCTGTGGTCTGAGAAGAAAGTGGCTGATGATGTGGTATCTGATGCTGTAAGGGTCTGGTCCAGGGTCTAACCATTTACTAGGGTCATGGATGGATCTGACATTAAGAGGTTAGTGACAAGGACAGAGCCATAAAGATTGTTAGTGAAAAGGATTGCTGCGTCCGGCCCATGACTGACTATGTGGTGTGTGGCTGCTCTACTTACTCTAGGGGGCAGCCCCCTTTGTAGCTTACCAAAATTAGCACTGCCTCCCCTTTGTCTGTCAGCATGCACTGGCCCACTTACAGTTGCCCTGCCTGATTGTGCTTTGGGTTTTTTGATTACCGGTTTATGGGAGTAGGCGGGGGGGTTAGCAACAGAGATGTGGGGTGTGTTGCGGTTTTGTTTTGTGGAATGCGGGTCCTGAGTTGGTGGTGATTCATTGGTGTTTGGTTCCTTGTTGGCTGCTGCAGTGGTTTCCAGTTTCCTCTTTGTTCTTTGGGGGCTGCTAGTTGTTGGGTGCTTATGGTCGGGTTCTGGTCTTCTTCTTCTTCCGGGGTGGGGGTGACTGCTGTCTTCTCCGTTTCACTTTTAATTGTCGGTCTGGTGTTGGCTTCTGTGAAGAGTGATTGTGAGTTTATGTCCTCCGAGGGAGGACGGGAGGTAGGGAGCGGGGAGACTGGGACCCCAGTCTGGAGGGGAGGTTTATGGACATTTCTGATTGGGGTCTGGGTTCTGGGTCGGAGTAGAAGTCTTCTGATGTGGTGTCGCTGGTGGACTTCTTCTGGTGTGGTTTGTTTTATTTCTGGGGTGGTGACTGTAAGTTCTGTTGGGGGGCTGGTGCTGGTCCCGGTGTTGGAGCTGGTCCTGGTGCTGTCACCGGTGCCTGTCCTGGTGCTGGTGTTAGCCCTGGTGCTGGTGTTGGTTCTGGTGCTGGTCCCGTTGTTGGTGCTGGCCCTGGTGCTGGTGTTGGCCCTGGTGCTGGTCCTGTGTTTGGCCCTGGTGTCAGTTCTGGCACTGTTCTGGGTGCTGGTCTCGGTGCGGGTGCTGGTGTTGTTCTCGGTGCGGGTGCTTGCTTGGGTTTTGCATCTCCTTGGGAACGAGTCCTGTTGTCGTAGGATGTTGGACAGGTCTTGAAGAAGTACTCCTCAAGCACACAGAGATTGCACGTCCTTTCCTCAATGCATTCCCTGGTGAGGTGTTCCCCTCCACAATTCTTGCAATTCTTTCAGTGCAGTCTGCGGTGAGGTGCCCTGATGCCCCACAGTTCCTACAGAGCTTTGGCATGCCAAAGTAGAACACCTGCCCCTTGTTTTTGCAGAGCATGATAATGCTGGGCAGGTGTTTGATTGCTCCAGCCGGGTCCCTTCTGAGCCTGATGTTCCATTTCCTCGCTCCTGTCCATACCACGTCCTCGTGCCGGAGCCATTGTACCCCCGATTCCACCCCTGTGTGCAGTGCTAACCATGTGCTAATGTCGTAATTGGGGGGGGCTGTGGGAGAGAAAGAGGGAGGGGGAGACAGCTGGACTTATAGCTCATGAGCCCAGCTATCGAAATAGATAATGTGTACTCTAAATTCTCCAAAACTGTCTCTCAGTAGGTCTGTCACTGCAAGTTATCTTGTTCCCGCTTCTGTTTACCTGGCTATGCAAATGAGATTACATCACCAAATCAAATCTAATTGTATTTGTCACATGCGCCGAATACAACAGGTGTAGACCTTACCGTGAAATGCTTACTTACAAGCCCTTAACCAACAATGCAGTTTTAAGAAAATGTAGTTAAGAAAACATTTACTAAATAAACTAAAGTAAAAAATAAAAATAAACGGAACACAATAAAATAACAATAATGAGGCTATATACAGGGGGTACCGGTACAGAGTCAATGTGCGGAGATACAGTTTAGTCGAGGAACTTTGTAGACGTAGGTAGGGGTAAAGTGACTATGCATAGATAATAAAGAGCGAGTAGCAGCAGTGTAAAAACAAAGGGGGCGTGGGGGTGTCAATGCAAATAGTCCAGGTGGCTATTTGATTAATTGTTCAGCAGTCTTATACCTTGGGGTAGAAGCAATTAAGGAGCCTTTTGGACCTAGACTTGGCGCTCCGGTACCGCTTGCCATGCGGTAGCAGAGAGAACAGTCTATGACTTGGGTAACTGGAGTCTTCAACAATTTTTGGGGCCTTCCTCTGACACCGCCTAGTATGTAGGTCCTGGATGGCATGAAGCTTGGCCCCAGTGATGTAATGGGCCGTACGCACTACCCTCTGTAGCAGCTTGCGGTCGGGTGCCGAGCAGTTGTCATACCAGGCGGTGATGCAACCGATCAGGATGCTCTCGATGGTGCAGCTGTACAACTTTTTGAGGATCTGGGGACCCATGAAAAATATTTTCAGTCTCCTGAGGATGTGAATGGGGCCGTGTTCGGCCCTCTTTTTCCAGTAGTCCACGATGAGCTCCTTTGTCTTGTTCACGTTGAGGGAGAGGTTGTTGTCCTGGAACCACACTGCCAGGTCTCTGACGTCCTCACTATAGGCTGTCTCATTAATGATGGTGATCAGGCCTAGCACCATTGTGTCGTCAGCAAACTTAATGATGGTGTTGGAGTCGTGCTTGACCACGCAGTCGTGGGTGAACAGGGAGTACTGGAGAGGACTAAGCACGCACCCCTGAGGGGCCCCATGTTGAGGATCAGCGTGGCAGATGTGTTGTTGCCTACCCTTACCACCTGGGGGCGGCCCATCAGGAAGTCCAGGATCCAGTTGCAGAGGGCGGTGTTTAGTCCCAGGGTCCTTAGCTCAGTGATGAGCTTTGTGGGCACTACGATGTTGAACGCTGAGTTGTAGTCAAGGAACAGCATTCTCACATAGGTGTTCCTTTTGTACAGGTGGGAAAGGGCAGTGTGGAGTGCGATTGAGATTGCGTCATCTGTGGATCTGTTGGGGCGGTAAGCGAATTGGAGTGGGTCTAGGGTTTCTAGGATGATGGTGTTGATGTGAGCCATGACCAGCACTTCATGGCTACCGACATGAGTGCTATGGGGTGGTAGTCATTTAGGCAGGTAACCTTCACTTTCTTGGGAACAGGGACTATGGTGGTCTGCTTGAAACATGTAGGTATTACAGACTCGGTCAGGGAGAGGTTGAAAATGTCAGAGAAGACACTTGCCAGTTGGTCCGCGCATGCTCTGAGTACACGTCCTGATAATCCGTCTAGCCCCGCGGCCTTGTGAATGTTGACCTTTTTAAAGGTCTTGCTCACATCGGCTATGGAGAGAGTGATCACACAGTCGTCCGGAACAGCTTGTGATCTCATTCATGTTTTAGTGTTGCTTGCCTCGTAGCAAGCATAAAAGGCATTTAGCCTGTCTGGTAGGCTCAAGTCACTGGGCAGCTTGCGGCTGGGTTTCCCTTTGTAGTCCGACAGCTCTAGCCTTTAGCTCGGTGCGGATGTTGCCTGTAATCCATGGCTTCTGGTTGGGATATGTACGTACGGTCACTGTGGGGACGACGTTGTCAATACGCTTATTGATGAAGCCGGTGACTGAGGTCGTATACTCCTCAATGCCATTGGATGAATCCCAGAACATATTCCTGTCTGTGCTAGCAAAACAGTCCTGTAGCGTAGCATCCGCGTCATCTGACCATTTCCGTATTGAGAGAGTCACTGGTACTTCCTGCTTTAGTTTTTGCTTGTAAGCAGGAATCAGGAGGATATAATTATGGTCACATTTGCCAAATGGAGGGCGAGGGAGAGCTTTGTACGCATCTCTGTGTGTGGAGTAAAGGTGGTCTCAAGTTTGTTTTCCTCTGGTTGTACATGTGACATGCTGGTAGAAATTATGTAAAACGGATTTAAGTCTGCCTGCGTTAAAGTCCCCTGCCACTAGGAGTGCAGCTTCTGGAAGAGCATTTTCTTGTTTGCTTATGGCCTTATACAGCTCGTTGAGTGTAGTCTTAGTGCCAGCAACGGT